TGAAAAAAAAAAAAAAAAAAAAAAAGGCCACTCACTATTTTAATTTAAATCCCGATGTGTTGTGCAGGTTTATCAATAAGTAACAGAATGTTCACATTCTGGCAGGGATTTTCCTCTTAACTTGTAGGAGCCATTCCCAAAACAACCTGCCAGACATCAGTGTTACTTTTAAACTTTACACACACAGCAAAACTGTGCATATAAAGGGAATTTTTGAATTTGCACGTAAGTGATTCTAATTTCTTGCTACTCTCCGCACTGCAGCAAAGGAAGACTGATAGCCTATCTTTATGTATTTCTTCAGCCTATCTTTATGTATTTCTTCTGCTCCAGGGCAACATTTCTCTGTAAGAGTGAATATTTGGTTTGGTTGCAACTTATAGAGGCTTATGAGATGTGCTCTTGGGGGCATATTTATTTAGAACAGGCACCTCATTTTCAAGTTCTTCCTCAGCAAACACAAGAGTTATAAAGCCCTCCAGCTATGAACATCTGACATTAACCCCTATCTAGAATGCAGTTTCATTAGCCATGTCTAAAGTTACAGACAAACAAGAACCCTGATACAGAAATATTTGCTCTGACCTGGAAACAACATTCAAGCATTTAATTTACTGAGCTGGCATGGCTTTCTCCTGTCATTCTGTTGCCAATTTCACCTCCTTGGGCTGTTTTTCTTTTTGTCTTGTCCCAATTTTCAAGGAACATGGAGAATATTGATAAGGGAACTCCATACCCTCTGACCATTTCACTTTTTGACTTTTCTTTCTTTCTCACTTTTAGCTCTGGAAAAAAATGTGAGCACAGTATATTTTCTCTCTAATTCCATGACCAGAACTCAAAGCACGAAGTGTGATAGAAAAAGACATACTTAACAGAACAGGAATATTCTAATGGCCAGACTGAGAAGACTGGCTGGGAGTAGAAACTGACAGTGGAGTACTGGCAGGTAAATTAATTTTCTTAAGTTTAGAATAGCAAAGCTGACGGCTAATTTTAATAATTTTAATAGCCAATTAAAAAAATATTTTTTAAATTAAGGAATCCTAATGACTTTGAGGTAGATAATGCTGTTAACAAATAATAAATTAGGTATAAGATATAAAAATAACAAAACTGAGGGAAAGCAAGCACTGACTTGAAATTATCTTCCTTTAAATTCATGTGGAAAATTAAGAACACTTTTTCCAATTCAAAGTTCTAAGCACAAAACGCAGGTATGTCATGTCATGGACTTGCTTCTTTAATTGGAGGTGAATTCTGAGCCAATGGAAAGAACTCAGAGCAGCAAACTACAAATTGTTGTCCCCACGAGGAAGCCAGTAACTTTGTCTTTGATTTTCCCAGCTTGGCTCATTCCCAAATGTTCAGGATTTGGATTCTGAAAATCGTTTTTAGCACTTAACTAATTCTTTGTTGGTGGAAGGAGCTGGGACAGTTTCTCCACACATAAACTGCTCCTAAGAAAAAAGAAAAAATTACATTTACCACTGAGTATGTCACAAATTCATCAACATTCAATTTTCATCTTGTTCCAGAATCAATTCAGCTCTGTGAGTTTTTCCATTGAAATCATCCCTGACTCCTCCCATATCCTATGTCCAATCAGTAAGGAATTCTTAGCCTTTAAAGTGTATCCAGAATCCAACCATTTCTTACTGCCTCCATTGCTGCAGCTTGGCCCAAGCTACCCATCCCCTCCTTCGATTAGTCTAACAGCCTCTCACCTGGTTTTCCTGTCTCTATCCTTGCTCCTTCGTAGTCTATTCTGAACACAGAAGCTAGAATCCCTCTTCTAAAACTTGAGTTGGATCATGGCACCCCTTTGTTCTAGAATCCTCCATTGGTTCTCTATATCATTCATAGAAAAAGCCAAAGTACTTAGAGCAGCCCACAGACATCTCTGTGATCTGCCCCACTCCACTAATTTATCTTGGATGATTCTCACTGCCATTTACTCCGCTTTGGTCACACTGGCCTCCTTGCTGTTCCTCAATAAAACCGAGCCTTAGGACTTCTGCACTGAAGGTCCCCTTTGCCAGATTGCTCTTACCCATAATATGTACAGGCCTCACTCCCTCACCTCATTCAATCTTTGCTCAATAAGGCCTGCCATGATCACCCTATTTAAAATAGCAACCCCTTCTCATACCAGCACTCCTGATCTTCCTCACCCTGTTCTCTTTTTGTTCCAGAACACACTTTGATACAAGAATAATCAGCAAATTTCTAAATTATAGTCTAAATTATAGCCTGCTTCTCTCATGAGGTTAAGTGCCTTTTTCCCATCTTCCCTACAATCATGTTACAGATCATCCTTAAGAATGTCAAGCTCTTTTATGTCAATTATTCCTCAAAGAAAAGAGAATGTTAAGCTTCTTACTTAAGACTTTATTCAAAGTACTGACCAAAAGTTGGGGTGGACAGTAATAACATTTATTTAGTTTTCTATTTTTAATATCCTTGAAGGAAAAATAACAGGACAACTAAAGTCTAAAATGAAATTGTAAAGTTGCGCCTATGATTATATCTTAAATAAAATAATGCAGAGTTCTATGTATAAGCCAGGTAAAAAATGCTATACAAGCGTTCCCTTCAAAATACATCTAGGTGCTCCGTACAATTTTAATTACTTATTAAATAAAGGAGAAATAAAGACTGTCAACTAAATAGCCTTTATAATTATTTCTTTTATTTAATAAGTAATTAATAATTTTGATTAGTTCTCTTTATTGCCCTGTCTAAAGCTAAAATCATTTAATTTGAGCTTTTAAAATTTTAATTTACGATAACAGCTGTTCGTTAATGGTTTTTAAAATTGTTTTTTTAAAACACAGCATTTACCTAACACACTGTTAGAAAACATTCTCCAGCACTAACATATATCATAGACAGACTGCTCTAGATTCTTGCACCAAGACCCTCCTCCCACCTTTAAAAGTTTGACCCCTTACTTTGTCATAAATCACTTTTATAATGAGAGAGCAGCTGGGACACGTTGCCACGTCTTCCCCATTCTCCAAGTCCTCCTATAACAAAACCAAACGCCGGATAATCAGCATTACCTTCCCTTTGCAAACTCCTCCTCCAAACCCTCCCACCCCTATGGGCAAGCTCCTCTATGGCTCGCCTCCCCACAGGGTGTGTGAGGGCCAAAGGGGCCTTCCGAGAGACATGCCAACCCCAACTTTCCCTGGAAGCGTCACTTGGGGGAAATACCCTGGAAGGTTAGTTAAGGTTCAGTCGCCTCTAAACCTCTGGAAAGACAAAAACGCGTCCCTTCCTCCAAAGAAGTATCCCGGGAAGGTGGACCGGAAAGGGGAGGCTACGGGGGGAGGACGGCGAGACGTCTGCTGCTCCCCGCCATCCATTCCCTCCAAGCCCGCCCTCCCCGACAGGCCTGACTAGAGGCCAGAACGGAACGCCCACTGACACCTGAGAATATCAAATGTGGGGGGATTCACAAACAGGGCAAAAAGGGCGTGGATAACAGGAGCCGCGTGGGCTACGGAGCGGCAGAAGGAACACCGCAGAGCGAAAACGCGCCAGCTCAGGGGAGCAGCCGGGCGGGATCCCGAGGTTACCTTGGTGATGCAGAAGTTATCGCCACAAGGGCAGGGGTAGAAATACGTCTCCAGGTCCTCGTCGTATTGGAAGTCCTCGATTTCCACCTCGTCGTGAAACACCGCCATTGTACTGGGGCCCGATGAGGGCCCCGACACACCGAAGCCCACCCGCGTGGGTCTAACTTCGCGGATTCCGGCCCTAGCCGAGGGTTGGCTCCACGGACCGGCGCAGGAACTACCGCTTCCGGCGCCTAACGATGACGCACCAGTCGGCTTGGGGGCCAACTGGGTGACCCGACGGTGGTCACCATGGAGATAGCTGAGCTGGGGTCGGTCGAGACTAGGCAGAGCTTCCTGGCTGCTCAGTGGTGTCGGGTACCGCTCCGCCCATTGGGCAGAAGTGACCAATAGAATGTGAGGATCGGCAGCGCTGCTTTACGTCACGTCGGGGACACCGGAAGCTCTCAGGCACCGGCGGCGGAGTTCGGCTCAGTCCTGCGAAGTAGGTAGCCGCGGTGTCGGCGGCGCGGAGGCAGCTTGCTGCCGGGCTGTGCGGGCCCGGCCTCAGGTCCGTGGCCCTTAGAGAGGCCTTAAGCGGACCCGCTGAAGGCCGCAGCAGGCCTGGGTGGCATATCTGGGCCCTCGGCGCCCCTGAGGGGAGGACCGCAGCCTTGCTTGCTCTTCGGCGTCAGGAGCCTTCGCGATCTCTGCCTTCCCGGCGGCCGACGAAAAGCTCCCCTGGAATTGCGATTCATCGGGTCACCTTGAGCTCAGGGCGCCGTCTAGCTTGTAGTTCCTGGCTGCACTCGCTGTTCAGGTATATCCCCCCCGCTTCGTCACCCCAGATTATCTTCAAATGCCCTAAATTGCGTTGCGGAAAGGAGCAAGACCTGGGAGGCAGATGGAGTTCTAGTCCTGTGTTTGCCAAGCGTATGACATTATTTACTAGGATGATCTGTAATAACAGTAGTAACCTTTTATATAGGGAGTTTGCTGTGGGCCCGGTATTGCGCCATGTACAGTTCTTCCATCAACCTTGGGAGTTCAGATGTTATCCCCATATTATTAATCTTCAACCTGAGATACAATGAGTTGGGTATCTTGACCAAAATACCACACCTAGGAAATGAAGAGCCTGTGTCTCCAAAGCCCGGGAACACGTGACTTATGTGAATCACAGTTTCTTCGTTGTAAAAGGAATGGCATCAGCGGGTATATCTAACATTCTTCTGTGTGGGAATTATGAGTTTTACTTGGACGTGTACCACACTTAGTTTATATTCACAAACTACATAGGCATAATACTTATGTATACATCCCTATGCTTATTTATGTACCCACATTCAAATGCTTGTGTGAAGTTACCAGTTTTGTGCCCACTGAAGTGAAGTGAAACTTTAGCTCTTTTAAGGCTTGAAAATCTAGAGGCAGAGGAGCCTTTGGGAGAAAATCCAGAAGTTACATTAAAGGAGTTTATAGAAGATTATTTAAAAGGCCTCACAAACAGTCCACTTTGCGTGAATGGAGATCTACCCAGAAGTTAGGAAACATTTTTAAACCTTTTGAGGATTAACTTAGATGATTCTGCTCTGTCTGAGCAAAGGAGAAATTCCAGCAAAGCCCACTTAGTCCAGTGGCTGCTCCCTGTATCTACTCTGTAGACACACATACTTCCCAGGTAGCCTCTTGGAGACAGGAGGCCAGGTGAGAATCTCCAGTGACTAGTCTCAGTGAGCACTTTGAGGTTGGGAACCATCATTAGTTCTTCAGTACTTCTGAGAATACCTAAAAATTAAAGATGAACCATTTTTGAATGTACAGAAATGGGTGCAGTCATACTTGTTTCATGGAAGTATAAATTAGTAGACCTTTTAGAAAACAATTTGTACCTATCAAGAACAATTCTGTGGGGAATCTTAAAATCTGAGGTTAGTAGTCCTAAAGGTTACAGTGGTTTGGGGTTATTAAAAAAAAATAATAATTTCTTTGTAATTTTCTGACTTTTCTTTGAGTATGTATTACCTAAAATGGAAGAAGAAAAACTAATAAGACACTTAGTACTATGTTCCAGGCACTGTACCAAATGGTTTACATGCATTATGTCATAACAGCCCAGTGAGGTATAGGTATCATTAATCCTGTCTTCGACATTGGGAAACTTGAGGTTTAGGGGCTAAGGAGACTTGCCTAAGTAGACAAAGCTGGTAAGTGGCAGTAGCTATGGTGAGAACTCAGCCAGACCTGTCTGACCCCAGAACCTTTTCATAGCTTCAGTGTCATCTATGATGTGATGGTGTTGAAGCAGAACTAGATTAAACAAATAGCCCTGGAGCTCTGCACACTGCTGAGATTTTCACTGGAGCGGTGCTGGTTCCCTTGAGACCTAGATTTTGGTGTCTCCTTGGCCTTTAATCCCGCCATCTGTTGGCCAGACCCCTTGTCTGGCCGGAGGTGATTCCCTGTATCGTTCTGCCCAGTTTTGAGTATATACTGTGCTGAAGAAAATAAAATGATAGCCAAGCATGTGATGCAGTTTTTTTTAGACCCCCCAGCTTTTTTACATAAAACATTACAATTACTATTAAATTTTATATTTATTCTTAAAAGGTAATGGAAACATTCTGTTATGAGACATTTTTAGACTCCAAAGGCGTGACAAAAGCAGACTTACTAGTTGCTATAGAATCATTTGGGATCACAAATTTGCGGTTGAAAAAAATTTTTTTTAAATCATAAAATGTTAACACTACTGATCTGGAAGATAACAGTGACCAAAATTCTTAACATAAGATCGAATTTAGAAATAAGTCACAGTTATATAATAGAAACTATTTTATGAGTGCCGTTGTATATTAGGCTAAAGGGAATTGTTTTTTAGTAATCTCAAACCACTACCTCTTGAGATTGTTTGGCAGGGAGCTGGGGGTTAATGCAGTTGGTTTGGTTTTTTTGTAACACGCTTGCTGGCCAGGTGCTTCCATAGACATTTATTTCTTTCAGTAATCCAGTGAAGTGGTGCTGGCATTCCCATTTAAAAATGATAAGAGGTGACTGGCCCAAGATCAAAAAGCAGGGAGGAGTCAGATCTGAGCCCAGTTCCATGGATTCCAAGTCAAGCACTCTTGAAATAACTTGTATGCCACTAGGGTTCACTTACCAAATGCCAAACACCAGGAATCCCTTTGCTTCTTCTTATTGGCACCTGGGAGTCTAAATCAACAGGGGCCATGATATTTCTGTGATTTTACTTTATTTCAGGGCATTAATGATCTTTGGGCCATTCTTGGTTTGTCTCTTTGTCTCACTGACCTCTCACACTTATTCCAATCTATCAACAAGTCTTAGGGCTTTGATTCCAAAGTATATTTTATGCTTATCTACTTCTGCCATCTCTGTAGCTTAATCCTACTCTAAACTTAGACTAGAGCCTTCTAACTGGACTTCCTGCTTCGACTCTTGCCCCTCTGCGATCAATTCTTTACCTAGCAGCCTTAGCGATCCTTTAATGTAAATTTGGTCATGTCCATCACCTGGTTTATTCAAACCATTCAGTTTCTTCCCATTGCTCTTAGAATAAAGTCCATACCCTTACTATGGCCTAATGTGATCTGGCATGTCTGCCTGCTTGACTTCATCTCACATCATGCTCACCTAGCTCACTGCTCTCCAGTCACACTGGCTGTGGTTTCTTAACACATCAGTGTGACTGTGATTGGGCCTCTGCCCACATGCTCTGCTCTTAATGTCTGCTTGGCTGCCTCTTCCTCGTAGCTCATGTCTCTTGAGAGAGACCTTTCCTGATATTCCTCACCCACCCCACTACTCTTATTATATTTTTATTATTGATTTGAGAGAGAGAGAGGAAGGGAGAAAGAGAAAGAAAACAAAGACATTGGTTTGTTGTTCCATTTATTGATGCTTTCATTGCTTGTTTCTTGTATGTGCCCTGACCAGAGATTGAACCTGCCACCTTGTCATATTGGGACAATGCTCTAACCTAACTGAGCTACCCAGCCAGGGCTCTACTCTTATTTCTTTTATCTCACTCATTGTAATCAGTAATTGTCTCGTCAATTATCTGTTTACTTTTATCTGTCACACACATTATAATAAAAGATTCATAATGGCGAGGACCTTGTGTTTGGTTCTTTATTGTGTCTCCATGCCTAACATAGTGCCTGGCACCCCACTAATTATTTAATAAATTGAGTGTACTTATTGAACAGAAACCAGTATAGGTCATTTTAAATCTTAAAGTTAATTTGTTGCTTGCAGTATTTTTTTACTGCTTAAATGGATGTAAGTATTATTTAGCATTTATGATAATTTTGTTTCAGAAATAGAGTTAATTAAGATTTTTTTTGGTGAGGTAAGACCTATGGGGATACAAACATTTATGGAATATTCTTGTTTGTATGGTTTTAGAAATTATTTAATATATATTAAAGTTATATCGTTCAAGTGAATATATGAAACCATTGGAAATATTTTTAAAAATAGGTAGTTTGTCTTTTTTAAATACCTATTGCTTTGGAAATGACTTTGAACACAATTTGATAAAAGTACCCTTTATTTACCAGTAGGTGGCACTCTTGGTCATGGTTATTACAAATCAAGATTTTAAAGAGAACAGCTTTTAAAAATTAACATTTCTTTGTTTTCCAGTTCAGTTGAGCAGTGGACCATTCAGACAGCATAATCACTAAAAGCTGTATCTCATGTGAGGACTATTTTAGCAATAGTGGTCTAAAACATTGAGCAGAACAATGTTTTTGTATTAAACTGTTTATCAGATAAATTCTGTTAGGAAAGTTGACCTTAAATGACATTAACTGTCTCATTCCAGCCATTGGTCTGGTCTTTCATAGGGTGGGATCAGAAAAGAAAAAAAAAAAAAAATCAGAAAAAAGAGAAGAGGGAGACTTGATGGAAGGGGGGAAACTGAGAGTAGTTTTGCTGTGAGGCGATGTCTGCTGATAATAATGAGCCTTTTCTTATGCATCTAGGAGATAGTAGTTCTTTTTAACAATTTTCCAAAACATTGTTCTTCTTTTCTCTGCCATTGCAGGAACTTTGTGAGAATTTCACTACATGGAAACACTGTCCGGGTTCCAACCATTGTATATCTGAAGTCTCAGTATAATATCAGGACCAAAATACTGCAAATCAGTCAGCCAGCCATATACTTAATGACTCCTAAAAATCTCATGGACTTCTAAAGTAAGTTGCTTTCTTTCAATGATTAATGCACCATTTTTGGTTTAGCATATTTAAAGGAGAGAAACTACATTTAGTAATCTTGCATGAGGTAAAGAGCCATTATACTTTTTTCACTCAAGAGAAAAACAGTGAATAGCATTTATCCACAGTGATGCTACATCATACTATGGCAAGAAATAGATCTTTTACCTTGTCTAAAGGTTAGTTAGGAAGCAGTGGCTTTTGATATAATTTGATTAGAACTGAATAAATTACACATGACTTATATCACCCCTTGATTTATTTACTTTTATTTATTTTCTGTCTCTACCTTCCAAAATACAAGCTTCCTAAGAAGGTCTTTGTTTTGTTTATGTCTGTATTCCCAGTGCCTGCCACATATTGGGCTCTTAATAAATATTTGTCAAATGAAGGGCTGAATTAATGAGTATGGAGTAGGAACATAAGCACATCTCGCTTGAATATTTTTCTAACACTAAATTTATAACAATTAATTTATGTAGTACCTGTCAGTGAGCTTAGGAGAAAAGAGTGTTCACACGCATCTTTATTTATTCTCAAGCTGACTAAGATAGGCAGTATAACATGTTAAAAGTGGCCATCTTGGGCAAAGAAATATTTAAAAATTGGCTGAGGAAAACAGAATGGTAGGAACCAAAAAAATGTATCATCTGACTTCCAATCAGTACTTTTTCTGATAGGTCAGTAGTTTTTAGACATGGAAATGTTGGGAACCTTCCTGAGTTTTTGTTTTTTAAACTTTTTATTAAAGTATAGCTTACAAACAGAGAAGTACATAAATCCTAAGAGGACAGCTTGATTAATTTTTTTTTTTATTAGGACAACTTTTTATAGCAGTTTTAGGTTCACAGCAAAACTGAGAGAAAAGTACAGAGATTTCCCATATACGCCCTGCCCTTAGACATGCATAGCTCCCCATTATCAACATCTCCCACTAGAGTGGTATAGGAGTTACAATTGATGAACCTACATTGACACATTCTTATCACTCAGAGTCCATAGTTTACATTATGGTTCACTCTTGGTGTTCTGTGGATTTGGACAAATGTGTAATGATATGCATTCATCATTATGGTATACAGAGTGCTTTTACTGCCCTAAAAGTCCTCTGTGGTTTGATGAATTTTTAATGAGAATACCCATGCCATCAGCATTTAGATTAAGAAACGACATTGTCACTACTACTTCCCTACGGCTAACTTGCTAACTTGCTTCCAGCTCTGTGGATTAATTTTGTCTGTTTCTGTCCTGTATATTACTGGACCCATAGACTGTGTGCCCTTTTGAGCGGCTGCTTTCATTCTTTTCAGTCACTGTGATATTGTAATACTCACCTGTTACCCCATGTCATTGCAGTTCTCATTGCTGTGAACCTCAGTTTGTTTTTCCCTTGCACTGTATCTAACAAGAAATATTAAGGACTTATGTGGTGCTCTTTCGTTGGAGGACAATTACCAGGCAATTAGAAAATCTACTCTCCTGTTATAGTATAAGATTAGTCATGTGAACTTCGTCAGCAATTTTGGAAACTAATAGAGAACATGAATATTTGGTGACACCAATAATTACACCTGTATGTACTGTGGAGATCAGTTGAATCAACTCTAAATAGTGGCAGAAATTTTGTCAGGGTGAATTAGGCCCTTAATTGCTTTGCCGTTAGATCAGCTCATAACAGTACCAACAAAAATCTAAACGCTTCTTCGTTCGCCCCTGAAATAGTCTAATATTCCCCTACTTTTTTTTTTTAACATATTTGAATTTTTGTTTTTCTGTTTGCCCAGGAGGCACCATGGCCTGTGCTGCTGTCTTGATTCCTGGGTTGTTGCGGGGCTCTGTTGGAGCCATCTGCTCCCAGGCTGCTTTGTCGAAATCTACACCAGGCGCTTTGCGCCACCTTACTTTAACCAGGTGAGCATCGACCTTCAGTGTTCACTTGAGGTTGATTTTCAAAGAGACCTGACCTGCTGATGGGCATGGGAGGTGTATCAAACTCCTGAAGGCATAACATAACATACTGCTTAAATGTACATGGCATAAGTAAATCGTTAAACTTTAGTTAGATGTGCAAATTTCATTGACCATTTTCTGGGATATGTAATGTGTTGTATTTTGGATAGTCATTGTTATTAGAGGGGAAACTAATTTAACTCTTTCTTAATGAGGATAATACTTAGTAACCTAATTTTACTCTCTTTTACAGTATAATGAAATCCAAAAGGAAAACTGATCACTTGGAGAGGACTGCAAATGTTGTTCGACAGGAGGTTTGTATCTTTGGGCAATGGCAGGCTTTTCTAGGAGGGACAGTTTGCACACAGTTATGACTGGCTTATGGGGAAGGCACTAGATGAGCTTTAGCCCTTTGAAGGACAGTCAGGGAAAGTTTGTTATTTTTCTGTTTAGAACGTTTCTAAACAGGACACATGACAACTGATTTGAAAAGATGATAGTGAAATACTCAAATTTTTGTCTTTAAACTTGAAATGAATAGATTAACTTTTTGATGAAAGAAGTATAGCAGCAGTCGAGGGAAGTTCTCCCAGGTATGGTGTGTAGGGTTACATTTTAGCACTAGAACTTTTTTTAGAGCCCACATTTTATGAATAACTTTCCTTTTTCTTATTTATTTTTTTGACACCATTTCTCAAAGTCCTTGTTCTTATCCCTACTGTAGAACAACTTATTTCATCAAGGGAAAAAACACTAACATCTGGGAAAGGAAGGTGGACGAGCTCTTACTACCCTTCCCATGTGCTGACTTTCCCCACCATATTCAAACTAGAGAAAGCTAACCCACCACCTGGAGGGGTCAAGGGCTGGGAAATAAGGATCCTCACCCTTTACCTCAGTGAGTAACTACATTTTCTTTAAAAACTTAAGTTGGATATTTGTTTTGCTTTTTTACTGATTCTTTATGTACTTGGATATACTTAGCTTAGTGTCGTAAGTTAAAAATCTGTTTCATATAAGGAAGATTTATACACTTCTATGAGCATGGTCAGAAACTATTGTTACAGCATTTTAATTTTTAGTAGTAATAGTAGGATGCTCTTCAACGTAATAGAGTATTGTTTAGATCCCACTTTTCAAGCTAGTTCTATTTTTACAAAATTGCTTTGGGCCTGAGGGTAGTGTGCTTGTGGATTCAGCTTTAAGCCAACGTTTCTTTTGAGAAGTCTGTGTAAAATTAGTTCAGCGCAATAGATTTATGGATGTGTGGGAAAATACACTTTTCCCACTGATGATAAATCTGAAAATACGTTTTTTGGGCGTTTTTTTTTGGTTTGTTCACACAAAAATGCTGATTCTGTAAATGTGAGATTTGTTAGAATTTCTTTTTTAAAAAGCGAAACCTTGCCAGTTTTGAAGAAAAAGTGATTTAACAGTCTTGGACTATATATACTTTTTTTTCTGTTATATTTTGAGGCAGGTAGAACTAGAGCAGAATTTGGCAGATTTTCTGAAAGGGCCAGATAGTCTTAAGTATTTTTGGCTTCATGGGCCAGTCTTAGCCCCAACTATAAAACTCTGCCTTTACAGTGTGAAAACAGTCATAGACAACACGTAAACAAATTGGTGTATGGCTGGGTTCCAATAAAATGCTCTTTATCAGCACACCCAGGTATGGTCTGTGGGTCATAGTTTGCCAATCTCTGAATTAGAATAGTCATTTCAAAATTTTACAGGACAAAATTATTGAGACTTTTGGGGGGACGTATTTTGAGCCAAGTTTAAGAAAGCTACACAGAAAGTTAATATAAACTCTAATAATGTGGTTGGAAAGTTGAGAATTTAATGCCCAGAAGTCAGAAAATTATAGGGCTAATTTCAACCGTGATATATTACTTTGGTGGAAGAATTTTCCAGTTGCAACTCTTCCCGTTCTGTCTCTAATTTCCACTTCTTTCCCAAACAGAATAAGATCTGGGAGCTGGGAGGAGCTGGATAAAGCTAGATGATGTCCTACCTCAGCAGTATGAGGTCATCAGGGGCTCACCCCAGCCTGACCTTAGACTTGTTGAAATGGACAGCACCTCATGGTGGGCCATAATAGAACTGGCCCACCATGTGGTCTTGTCTGCCACTCTTGTCTTTTATTTGTATTGCAAGTATACTTTACAGAAGTCCCCATGTGCCATTTGCTCTTCAGTTTAAGTCTGTGAGGTCGCCTAAAAGTAGGACGTCACCTGCATTTTACAAAAGAGGAAGCAGAGGCTAGGAAATAACTAGTAGCTTCTCCCAGGACCAGAGGGAAGCTCCAGCCCAAGTCTGTGATCCTTAAGCCAAAGGACCCTGCTGCCTCTCCAGGGTGGGTTAGAAATGGAGTACTCACCCACCCAGAAATATCCTTTCCTTTTTAGCTGTTGGGTTCCCTATAGAGAACTTACTGAACGAGCATATTATGGTGGTGATGCTTCTTACTTGAGGCGAAAAGTAACTAGTCTGGAGTCATGCTGATGCAGGAAACTGAGCTCTTGAGTTGAATGACATTTGACTGTTTGTGTTGAGTTCACAACTTTTTGTTAGGGGTCAAAAGAATAAGCAGTCTGGGTAACTTTAGAAATGTCAAGGAAATAAGAGTAGAAATACCATAATACATAAGGATTGTTCAGGCAAGACTAAATTTTCACTGAAGGGGTCACTTTGTGCTGGCCCACTGAGCAAGATACACTCTGTTCATCAATTTGATGGGAGAGTTTGGTAATGAAAGAATTTTTTAAATTACTGATTTTTATGCAAACATTTGGAAATATGCTAAACAGTAGGCTAGGTCCTGGGCTAGCACTGAAAATGATAGATCAGGTCCCTGACCTCAGATTCTAGTGGGATTCTGGTCAGAAGAAACTGATTTAGTGCACGTAATTGATTTTGGAAAAACCACTAATTTTTTGTTTTGTTTTAAATGTTTGTATTAATTTCAGAGAGAGGAAGGGAGAGGGAGAGATAGAAACATCTCTGTTCCAAAATCTGAGTAATACAATGGAAGATAAATTTCACATAGCCTCCTCTCTGTTCCAAATCAAAATTTCACTTAAGTGTGACTGGGCATAAGAAAGGGGGCAGTTAGTAGTTAGTGTGGTAGTTAGCTAATAAAGTCAAATTGCTGGGCACCTGTGGCAGAGATGTTGGGGATTGTATGGGTCCCAGGGCTGATTACAGAGTGCTGATAATTTGCTTGATTTACGGTTTTGCTAAGGCCTGGGTTTGAGTAGGATGGGCTGCTTAGCTGAAAAGCTGGCCCCTGTCCCAAGTTTAACCGTTACCATTCTCTTAGTCATCACCTGCACATTTTGGCAAGATGGTATGCTGGCCTTCGTCAGCTTGGTGGGGAAGAGGGCATCTCTTCAATATTGAGTGTTTCCCAATAGTGGGACACCAAATTTGCTCTCTGTGGTCAGAGAGCCCTTTAGAGTTTTTCCAGCCTGGGGCGAGCAGTGCTAGGCATCCAGCCTCATGACACTGTCAGCTCTGTCAGAGCAGAGAGTGGGAAGAAAGCTCAGGCACCTACCACCTAGAGGTGGCTGTCAAGCTTGCAGAGGGCCTGGCCCAGTCTCTTGTAGAAACTCCTGAGGAGGTGTAGTCTGATGGTCCTGGAAGCTGGTCTCTGGCTCCTCAGGGTGCACAGCTCACCCTGCTATGAGTGGAAGCCTATGAAGAGGGAGCCTCCTTGGGAGAAGGCTCAGCTTATCAGTGCTGTAGCCCAGTATTCAGCACAGTGCTGACCTAGCATAGGCACTCAGGACGTGTTTCACTGAGTAGAATAAACAGTGTTAATCCCACTGCTGTGGCTGATTACCGGAACTGTCTTGGATGAGTCACTTTTTAGAGTAGCGGGGTGACAGTGAGGTGATGATACAAGTGTATTCTACCCTTCTAAACAGCTACAAGCTGTGGAAAGAGGACTTTCTTATACTGCTGCTTCTTAAGTATGCCTGGGACTTAACCTGTTTGTGCTTTTCACTGACACACTTCTGGTCAGTAATTTAAGTGATCTAGGAGGCAAGGTTGTTTTCCCCCATTCCCCCCAGGGGATCCATCAAAGGCAGTGTTTTATTTTAAATTCAGGGGATATGCGTCGAGTGCCTGCTGTGTGCCCAGCCCTGTTGTAAGTGCAGGGGATTCAGCAGTGCGTAAGGCAGGGGAAGCCCCTGTTGTATGTGGAGCTTCTTTCTGGTGCAGATAAACCGGAGAATGTCAGATGTTGTATACACTATGAAGGAAGTAAAACAGGGTAATGACTGGGGTGGGGGTGCTATTTTAAATGGGTGTGTAACATTTGAGCTGAGACTTGAATGTGGAAAAGAGTCAGACAGGTTCACAGCATTCCTGGCAGAGGGACTGGCAAGAGCCAAGCCTTGACGCAGAGATGAGTTTGATGTGTTCAGAGGAAGGTGGTAGGATGAGAGGTGGGCAGGGCCCAGGTTGTATAAACAGCTGTGGCTCTGGATAAGGAGTTGGGATTTTATTCTAAGGGTGAGGGAAATGAGATGTGATTTACATTTTAATGGCTCACCTATTTGCTTGGTAGAGCACTGGATTTTTGTTGTGCTTTGACACCAGGTTGGAGGCAACTGACATAGGCCCTGGAGAGGTGATGGTGGCTTGGAGTAGGGTAGTAGTGGTGGGGATGGAGAGCAGTGGGTGGATCAGGGACAGAGGTAGGGCTGATGGGACTCACAGATTAAGGTGAGGGTACAGTTAGTGAGAGAAGGAGAGGAAACCAAGAGATTTCTGGCTTTGGGATTTGAACACTGGGTAGGTGATGATGGTGGCATATATTTGCTAATGTGGAGAAGACCAAATTTGAAGGAGGAGAAATAAAGAGTTCAGCTTTGGAATAATCTGGGGTGGAAGGGTGGGAATTGGATGGAGTTTCAGATGAACCAAAATTAGCTATGAGTTTTTTCAACTCATACCAACTGTTGAATCTGGGGCATGGGTTCATGGAAGTTCATTATACTATTTTTACTAGTTTTGTGTATGTTTGAAATTTTCCATAATAATAAAAAGGAAGAAACTTTGGAAGATAAAAGCATTCTGTGTTAGATATGTTGTTTGAAATGGAAATTCAGATCAGCAGTTGGATGTATGAGTTTGAAGTTCATTGCTGGAAATAAAAAGTTTAAGCTGTGTAAAGAGTGAGGGAGAGGGCCTAGGCCTCAGCCGTGGGGTGTGTCTACATTTAGAGGTGAAGCAGAAGGGCCAGGAGAGGAGAGGGAGGGGGAGGGGGAGAGAGAGGAGCTGGAGTAGGAGTGGAGAATCAGCAGGGTGCTGGTAAAGCCAGGAGAAAAAGTGTTTCTAGGAGGTCAGGGCCACCTCTGCTGGATCCTGCTGAGAGGTCATCATTGGGTTTAGTGAAGTGAGTAGTGGGTGACCAGAATGACTGGCTTTAGTCCATTGCTGAGAGTGAGAGCCTGTGACTGTATTGTGTTGGAGAGAGGATGGGAGATAAGAAAGTAGAGCCAGAAACATTTTTATGTGAATGTGAGCAGAGAAATAGGTCACAGCTGGGTTGAGAGAGAGGCTTGTGTTGTATGTTGTATTTTGAGAAGCACCAAAGCATGGTGGTCAAGTGCCTGGATTCCAGTATCGGCTTTGCCACTTACTAGCTGTAAGACTTCGAGTGTTCTCATGTAAAATGGGGATAGTACTAACCTTTGCCTTCTACAGCTTTTGTGAAGATTGAATGAATTAATGTATGTGAAGTGCCTGGCACATGGAAAGCTCTGTATATAGGTGTTTGCTTCTGATGTTATTTGAGGTGGAAGGTCCGAGTGCTCACATGTGTTCTCGTAGAGAGGGGGAGAAAGGGATGGTGAGTGAGAGAGGGTGCTTGCTCGAGTGAAGGCTTGAGAAGGCAGCGAGATCAGCCCAGGTGGACAGGTTAGCCTTTGGTACGAGCAAGGAGAATTCATTTGCTAGGATGTAGTGTTGATGGGCATAAACCACTTGTACAGGTGACAGCATTTTATGCTCTTTCCTTGTCAGTAAATCACTTCAGTAAAACCAGTATCTTTTCATCAGGTTCCCATTCATCAGATTGGGATTCTGCCATAGTTGAACTAATGTCTCTGGGCCTTATGTGTAAATGACATACTATTTTTTGATGATAACTACATTTTTCTTTAACTCTGAAATTCTCTGTGCCCTCTTTTGTTTCAGGTCATCGCTAATCTTGGTTTTGTCTAAATGTTTAAGCCAACAAAAGAATGGATGGGAATGAACAGAGGAAGCCAGTTAGGTTCCCCAAAGAAAGACCCATTTCCTGTGCAGAGACTGTTGTAGCAGCAGTAACATCGAGATATCCTATATAAAACCAGCTTTTTAAGTCAGTGTGATGGAATTTCCTTTTAGATGCTGACTTAGTCAAAGCCTTAAAAGTGCGTGCTAGTAAAAGTTGGCAAATGTATTGTTATTTTATTGAACAGTAGAAGAGTCTAAATGTTATTTTATGGAAAACTTCATTTCCTGCCATGTGTTTTAACTTAGGGCATGGCTAGTTGAGGTTTCAGTTGCGAAATCTTTTGATCCGTTAAGTATGAGAACAAGTACAAATGTTAAAACATAAAGTTTCTCCATCATGTTTTACTTATTCAATCAAAGTAACGAAGAAAATGGCATCCAACAAGGGCCATGATTGCAGATCTTAATCATGTGAAACTAGCTTCAGAGTAAAAAAAGATATGTCCTTCAAATAGATTTTGCTAGTGTTTTTGGCTAGGAATCTTTATATAGTGTGCAATATTTGTATTAACTGAATAAAATAAAGTGTTAAAAATCATGAATTGTGCAAGATATTTTGTGTGACCAGTTCCAGCAGTTTTGCCCAGATTACGAGAACTAAAAGCAACAGGTATATTACTGTGTGAATTACTACCAATAGACATAAAGCAACAGATAACATTGTTGGTCATAGAGACTATCCAAATGAAAATACAACTTTTTTGATAGAAACTGTAGCTTCTTTCCCTTCTTCATTGAATTTTGTATTTGGACATTGGCAAATGATTGGTGATTCCATTTCACATAGACTAGCATCTGACTGTGAACCACTCTCACGTGCTTTAGTTGGAATTCTGTCTCCCTCTTCCTCCTCCCTGCCAGTGATTATGAATGTTGGTTTTTCTGCCACTGGATGACCCTTTGGGATGTGTTCAAAGCTTAGACGTATCTAGTTTTGTTCACGAATCTGACACATGCCAGTTAAGCTGTTATAAATGAAGTAATCTAGCTCTTGGCTTTGTTTCTAAAGATTATTATATTGAAAGAAAATAATGGATGTTTACAAAATAAACATTTCCTTTTTGTAAACCTAAGAAAAATGAGAGTAATGTAAGGGAAAGCCCTTTGATGATTTTATTACTTGTCTTTGTAGTAAGATATTTAAAGTCGACTGTGTGGCAAACAAAGAAGATCCCTGTTCTACTGAGGAGTTGCCTGCCCTCCGTGACCTCTCCCACAGTTCTGAACATGAATCTAGATTTTCTGTAGTGGTTTCTTCCCCCTGTGCAACTTTCTTTTTAAGCAACAAAAGGCTCCCAAACTTCTTCTAACTTTTGTTCTAGAAACCAATTTTAAGTGACTTTAAGTTAGAGTTTTCATTTATTCTGCAAATATTTACTGAATCTTACTGTGTGTTAGGCCTAGGAGTTGATAGAGATGTCAATTCTATCCAATAATTGCTCTCAGGAGGCTTGTGGTCTGTGTGGTCAAAAAGACATGTGTATGAGTATTTATATTTACATTAATGTGTGCTAAGTATTATAGTAAAGGCATATTTACTATAATAAATGGGTAGAATTGAGAGGGTGGAGAGAAGTAGAAGACTCAGGATGAGTGGTTAGTACCTGAGCAGGGCCTGGAAGGGTGGCCAGGAGGTTGCTAGACAGGACCAAGAGAATGTACCGCATACTGAATGACCTATGCAGGGTTTGGGGAGGTAGTCAAGTGTCAGGGGCCTTGAGGACCAGCAAGTTGTCCAGTTTGGCTGGTAAACCAGTAGCAGAGGGATCCAGGAGGAGCATAGCTGGTACAAGTTATAAAGGTGTTTTAGCATTTTTTTATATTTGTAGTTGATTATTAGAGAGCCCTTGAAGGTTTTTGAGCTGGAGAGTAACTCAGTGAGGTCAGAACATGAGGAGTAGTCATCTCTTGGCTTCTTTGAGTCACACAAAGATAAGGTATGGGCGGTTCAGGTGTAAAGAAAGAAATCCTTGGCTTAGGATGGTGGTAGGTGCACAGAGAGAGGAAAAGACATGAGCTGAATTCATGGAACTTGGCCATATTATCAAAAATAATGCTGGAAAGAGTGAAAGATTCTGAGCGTGTGTATGTGTGTGCAGGCACGAGTTACAAGTGGGCCAGCAGCATTACAAGTGCTTTGCATATAATATCTCATTTAATCTTCCCAGCAACTCTGTGAGATATAGGTGTTGTTATTCTCATTTTACAGCTGAGGGGGGCTGGGTGACATGCTCAGAGTCACACAGCTGGTAAGTAAGTGGTGGAGCCAGGATTAAATAACAGGAAGTCTAGCTATAGAGCCCAGGCTGTTCACAGCCAAACTATGCTGCTTCCTTTGATTTTGTTGCTGAATTGTTTAGGATGAGCAAATGGCATTAGATACCATGTCTGATTAAACAAGGTCTAAAAGAGAAAAATTGAACAGGAAGGAACAGGCAGGAGCTGATGAAGCAGTGTTTCGGAGTAGGTGGGTGGGACAAGCACCAAAAGTGGAGGTAGAGGGTCACGAGTGGAAAGTCACCCCATCTGCCCTCAGGGAGGAGGAAGAGAGGACTGGTAAATATAAAGAGGGACAGAATTTTACAGGAGCAAGAGAAAGGTAGAACATTTTATTTTGAGGTGATGAGGGAAACCACCATCCAACCCCAGAATTTTCCAGGATGGTTAAGAATTGTCTCCCACTGATAGTTTGATTAGACCTAGCCCTGTTGGAGAAAAGGGGTTGAATGAGCTAGCATCAGGGTGGGAGGTTCACTCATCTTGAACAGATTCCCGGGGCATCTTTTGCTGGAGCTGTGAAGGTAACACCATCGAAAGAGAAGGGCTTTGTTTTGGTCGCCTGCTACTGATTTGATTTGCTGCTGGAAGTGGAGTTGGACAGCAACAGGATGTTGAAGAAAGAGTCATCCTGTCTTTTCCCCCTGTTGTGAGGGTGCCCCAGGTCTAGGGAGGAAGAGAAACCCAAAGGCCCAGACACAAAGAGTGAAGGGAGTAGAAGCAGTTTGAGAGATGGTTGACATGGATGGTGCTTAACTGAGGAGTGCCCAGCTCGGACTGTTTTAGGATTTGCTAGAAACCAGAGACGTCATTTAGAATAGTGCTTCCCAAACTATCTGTTGTGAAGGGCTTTTGTTTAAAGGTTGTATTTAAACACTTTATATTTTGTAAAATATAATAAAAATGAATTAAAAAACAAAGACAGGAGTACAAATCCAACCTGTTTACTGTTACTAGATTCAACAGATAATTTTCTCTGAAATTGCTAACATAAAATTTCTAAGTGCTTGCTTTTAATTTCGGAAATTGGCTTGTCATGGACTTCTTGTAGGTTCAGAACAAACACAGGCTCACAGTGAACAGTGGATCTCACTTTGTGTAGGTTGTACTCACAGAGAATCTAGACACCAGGCAGGTGGCTTACAGGGCTCCACTTTACTGCACAATTCTCAGGGTGCCCAGCCTGGTAGATCACACACACTTGCCACACAGCAAATAAATGGTTGTTAGTCCCTTCAAGAGATGATTTTTGTATGCAGAATAAAATTCAATTAGTATTTTAGCAAGTCTCTCAAAAAGAAAATAATTAAAATTTGTTCACCTGGTGGTAGGCAGCTCTACCTTGTTTTGCAATTTTTAAAAACCACATCTTTGTAGATTTTGAAAAAACCTGAGTTACCAGAAAGCCACAATTTGTTCCTCGAGTTGTGTACACACTAACCTCAGCCACAGTTCATCTTTTGACTCAAGGTCGTGTCGGCAGCTAAGGTGTGTGGAGCAGCCCATGAGTCACCCTCCGTGAAGAGGCTCCACCTGCTTGTTGCTGATCAAGACTTTTCCTTTAAAGCTGGCCAGTGGTAAGTGGCTTTTCTGTTTGTAAGTGTTGTGTGTGCTCAGGAAGCTGTCATCAAATAGAAGGGCTTGTTTTTCTTTCTGGAAAAGACTTCTGTGACTTTCTGTTTCTCCTGAGGGGTAGGAATCCTAGACCATCTCCATTCAGGGTGAGCCTTCTTTGGCATGGAGATTCAGATTTCTTTCCTAGCTTCAGAGCTTATCTCAGTTTTGAGCCCGTGACTCTCTGTCATACATGAAAATTTCTGCCTTGACTTTTATTTTTTAAGTATGTTTTTATTGATTTTATAGAGACAGGAAGAGAGAGGGAGAGAGAGAAACATCGGTGAGAGAGAATTATCAATTGGCTGCCTCCTGCACGCCCCCTACTCGGGATCGAGTCCACAACCTGGGCATGTGCCCTGACTGGGAATCAAACTGACAACCTCTTGGTGCGTGGAATGATGCTAAATCAACTGAGACACACCGGCCTGGTGCTACCTTGACTTTTTCCAGTTGAAACAAAGCAGCTAGTTCTGGTCCATGGACCTGCAACTCTGATAATTCCATTCTGTAGGATGGGTGCTAATAAAATGCACTGCAGTAATCTAATCTTGAGTTACGCGCTGCCGGGGATTCATAACATTTTCAAACATTAGTGTTCCTTATGTCAAATACAGAGGAAACAGCAGTCTGAAAAGAAGAATAACCGGCATGTCACAGAGCTGACCACCCTCTCAACCGAATTCTTACATCAGTCATATCTCTTCTGGGTTGAGTTTATTATCAGTGCTGAATTTATTATCAGGAGCCCCAGTCAGGACTAGCACACACCACACTCATGAGTGGGCCTAGTCAGTATGCTGACAAGGTAACAGCCCAGCTGTCCCTTCCCACTCCCTGCAAATGGCTTCACAGAACTGCAATTCACGTTGAATTGTAAATAAAGCAACTTGTATTTCCTTAGGAAAGGTGTGTTTGGGTGTATGTTTCCTTTATTTAAATAAAGTATTCACTTCTAAATGGATTTCTGGCATGTCAGTCTTAGTCGTATTTCTTAGGAGTCACTTGACTAATTTTGGCAGTCCATCTGGAAATGCGGTTTTGTTAGAAGGAGGATGTGTGATAATAGCAAGTGTGATAATAGCAAGAGTTAGCAGTCTTGTGTTAATAGTTTGCCTTTGAATTTAGAACTAGAAAACAAGATGCTGATTGCAATAATTTGCGTTGGTGAAGCAATTTACTGCAATCTTTGCACATGTTCAGTGATACATATTGAATGCATTTGGGCTCTTTTAGGGGGGAGGTGGGCAACGTTTTTACCCTTCAAAAATAGTTTAGCAGTTATTACATTGGAAAATGGAAACTTTAATTGTAATGATCTTTCTTTTCATATTTCCCTTCTGGGGAAATGTTTGTCCTGTGCACAGCATTGTCTTTGTGCCTTCAGCTCTGAATTGTACCAAGACTGTCCCCAGTCCCTAGTCTCCCGATTAAAAAAGCCTGTGCGTTGGTTTATAGCGCTGCTACCATGGGGTGCCTGTACCTGTATTAGCACTTGCAAACTGTGGTTACCTGATGAAGAATATGTCAACATTCTCTAGTGATAAATATAGAAATAGGGTTCCATTGTGATCTCAAGATAAAATTATTCAGGGTTGGTGTTATATATCCCAAATCTGTGAATGGATTTAGTCATGTCACTGATGTTAAGACTGGTTTTAGTATGTGGCTGACAGATTTTGGCTTCAGAGAGCAGATTTGAGGGTGGTGATCTCTGGCTGGTTAGTGATGACCCTTTCCCTGCCAGGTGTCCCTCAGCACTCATTCCTGGCACCTGGGTCCTCGTTTAAAAGAATATTCCCTTAGCACTGGCTGCATGGCTCTAGGGTCTGTGAATCCCTTCGTGTATTTGACTTCATGGTGACAGAATGGCCATTCGCTTCAGTTGGTGGTGTCCACTCCTTCAGTGCTGTTGCTCTCTTAGAGCATCAGCTCGGTGGTAACCTCCATGTGGTACTTTGGAGAAGGGGGCAGGGTTAGGGGAAGGGGTTGTGAATGTTGCTGCCGTGCAGTTTGTGTAGTTAGGGTTATCAGAGTGGAGTGCCACTTAGACAGAAAGGAGAGGATTGTTTTTGGGCTTATCTTCAGGGTGGGAGATTGGGCCCATGATCTTACATCTCTGAATTCTTGACCTCCTCTGATACCTGTCCTGTGGGGAGGCTCCCGACCTGCCCCAGTGCTCTGGAGCTTTGGGCGCAGATCCCAGATAGACACCTGCACCATAGACCAGAGGTTGGCCTCCAGGGCTCTTTCGTGCTGCACTGTGTTCTTAATCCAGTTCAGAGAGAAAGGCCCGAAGAGGAAACTGCCTCAAAACCATTTTTCACATGAGCAGGGCTAAACCTTTTAGGTTCTCTCACTAGTAGGTCCACCACTTAGCACCTAATCGCCCCTCAAAACAGATATTTAAAAAAGAAAACAGTGGCTTTATCATAAGTATTTTCCTGATAAAATCAGGATCACATATACTGTAGCTAGAAAGAAGTCTATACTAAGTACAGTACTTCCAGACAGATCTCACATGATGAGCATTTTCTCTCTCTCTCTGCCAAGCAGATTTTGTCATAGCCCATTTAATTGTATTTATTTGCTAATTTTCCTCTCATTAGGATGAGTTTATTGAGGGCATGAATCAAAACATACTTGCATCTTGATTTCCAGTGTGAACCAAGTGCCTATACATAGTTGGCAGGTGCCATCTGTAGTGTTTGTACAAGGAATGGGTGAGGGGCACTGAGGACTAGAGTTTTGGGACCTCATAGTAAAGCATCGTCATCTGGCCATGGTTTGTGTGCCTGCTGTGTGCTGGGCACGGGATTCATCTGGGCAGGACAGGGCTGCCTGGTGTGTCACAGTTGGATATGGATATGTGTGGTTTGCTACAGACTTGGGCTCTTTCTCTCAGTTCTTCATGTACTCACGCATCTGGAGGTGCAGTAGGTGCTTCAACTCTTGGCTCCAGGAGTTCTAATCATGCAAAGGGATTAATATGTGTGTATGTGTGTTTAAAAGTTCTTTGTTGGACAGATTTTTTTTGACTGTATTGTGCATATTTTTTTAAATCCATTCAGATGAGGTTTTTATGTCATTTGGATTCTTCTGTAGCGTTTAATGGAGTCCTTTTCTTCTAAAGGTGTCTGTCTTTCCAAAGTTTCTGGAGAAGAGGGATTTCCTCTCACGTACCTGAGAATGGTCTTTAGCAACATCAAACAGCAGAGGGCGCTATAATTCAGGAGATGAAGCCACAAAAGTAGCTCATTGATGTATTTATTTTAAACATGGAAGCTGTGGAGATGCTATATACCTCCTCTGTGAGAGCATATAGTGTATGTGTTAATAAATATTAACTGTAGTCTTTTAAAAGTTGTATCTTGTCTGAAATGAGAGGGAAATTAAGTATTCGTGGGAAATAGTCAATTAAATATAAGAGAAAGGTAGCTAGTGACCTTTTCTGGAGTACTTCCAGTCCAGGACTGGTTTTTTAAGACTATAAAAAAATGACCGGATATTTAAGGTCATAGAGCAGAAGAGAACATCTTTTAAGGTCAGAGATCAAATCAGTAGAGAACATTGTGTGCTTTTCATGTAAGTCTGCTGGTAGGAAAACAACTGGGGGAAAATGATACTATTGCTCTTTGATGGCTGAGAAACATCAGGATTGGATGTTTACATTTCTTAGACGTGGAGATGAGAATGTTTTGTGGTCCCAGGTTCCAATAAATTTTTCCTCCCTTGGTATGTGACTAGGTTTGTTGCATTTCCTAGGACCCTACCCAAAAAGGGTTTCTATGGCATAGAATTATTGAAGGCTTGAAACTTCCAGGAGATCTGGACTGTAGGAGTGTGGTCAGAAGAAAAGAAAGAAACACGAGACTTCCGTAACTTAGAAGGCACATCAGCCTATTGAGTTTGTCAAATGCCAGTGAAAGAGTTTTCATTGCTTTTTTTTCACCTTTTAAAACTGTTTTATTGAGATACACTTTATATACCATAAAATTTACCCATTAAAGTGTAAAATTTACCCACTTAAAATGGCTTTTAGTGTATTCACAGAACTGCACAACCATCAGCACAATCAAATTTAGAACATTCTCATCGTACCAAAGAAAACCTCTCTACCAGTTATCAACTCCCCGTCCTCACCCCTTTAGACAACCACTGTTCTACTTTCTGTGTTTATGGATTTGCCTATTCTGGACATTTTTATCAGTGGAATTATACAATATGTGATCTTTTCTATGACTGGCTTCTTACACTAAGCATAATTTCAGTGTTCATCTATCTCATAGCATGTGTCAGTACGTCATTCCATTATATGGATACACCATATTTTGTTTATACATTCATCAGTTGATGGACACTTAGATTATTTTCACATTTAGGCTCTTATCAATATGCTATTATGAACATTCATGTACATGTTTTTAAGTGGATATATATTTTCATTTCTCTTAGGTATATACATAGGAATGGAATTTTTGGTCATATGAAAACTCTGTTTAACATTTTCGGGCACTGCCAAACTGTATTTCCAAAGTGGTTGTGCCATTTTTCAGCCCGACCACAATGTATAAGGGTTCCAGTTTATCCAGATTCTCACTAACACTTGCTGTCTTTTTGATTAGCCATCTATCCTAGTGAGTGTGAAGTGATAGCTCACTGTGATTTTGATTTGCATTTCCCTAATAACTTATGATGTTGAGCATCTTTTCATGTGTTTATGTTACTGTTATATACCTTCTTTGGAGAAATGTTTATAAAAATCCTTTGCTCGTTTGTCTTTTTATTACTGCATTGTTAGAGTTCTTTACATATTCTGTATACAAGCCCCTTACCAGATATATGATTTGGTCAGTTGTCTGTCAGTTGTCTTTAATTTTCTTCCCCCACAACACAAGAAGTTATAAGAAAGTCACAGAGGTGGAAGAAGTGAGCCAGTTGGGCTGCATGGACTCAGGAAACAAGTTACTGATGCAAAATAAGGGCCCTTGGAGCCTAGGAGAAAGAAAGCAAAATACATGCCTAAGGAAAGAAGTGGGGAAAGGTGTGGGCAAGCGAGAGAGAGAGAGAGAGAGAGAGAGAGACTGTGCTCTTTTAATTTTCTTGATGGGATCATTTATAGCACAAAGTTTTATATTTTGATGGAGTTTAGTTTCCTTATTTTTTCTTTTAACTATGTGTTTTGGTGTCTAAGTAACATTACCATGAAGAGTTACTCCTATGTAAGTCTTCTAAGAGTTTATAATTTTAGCTCTTACATTTAAGTCTATGAGCCATTTTGAGTTAATTTTTGTATATGGTGTGAGATAGGGGTCAAACTTTGTTCTTTTTATGTGTGGATATTCAGTTGTCCCAGCACCATTTGTTGAAAAGTCTGTTCTTTTGCCACTGAATTGTGTTGGTACTCTTGTTGAAAATCAACTGACCATATAGTTAAATGTTTATTTCTGTACTCTCAATTCTTTTTCATTGATCTATATGCCTGTTCTTAAGCCAGTATCACAATGTCTTTCTTCATTACTATAGCTTTCTAGTAAGTTTTGATGACCTGTGTTCCTTGAATTTCCATATTAATTTTATGATCAACTTGTCAATTTCTGCAAAGGAACCAGCTGGATTTTGATAGATATTGCATTGAATCTGGATGTCATTTTGGGGAGTATTGCTATCTTTACATATAAAGTCTCCCAATCCATGAACATGAGATGTCTTTCCATTTATGTAGATCTTTGATCTTTTTCAACAGTGTTTTGTGGTTTTTCACTATACAACTCATATGCTACTTTTGTTAAATTTATTCCTAATTATTTTATTCTTTTTTATGCTATTAGAAATATAATTTTTCTTAATTTCACATTTAGATTGTTTGTTGTATAGAAATTCAATTGATCTTTATTATTGATCTTGTATCCTGCAAACTTATTTGACTTGTTAGTTTTATTATCTTCATAGTAAATTCCTTAGGATTTTCTATATACAACATCATGTCATCTGCAACTTCTTTCTCATTCTCTCCAATCTGGGTGCCTTTTATTTCATTTTCTTGCTTAATTGCCTTCGTTAGAACATCTAGTACAATGTTGAATAGAAGTGGTGGGAGCAGATATCCTGTCTTGTTTCTGTTCTCAGGGGGGAACTTTCAGTCTTTCACCATTAAACATGGTATTAGCTGTACATATTTTGTAGATGCCCTTTATTTGGTCACATAAGTTCCCATTTATTCCTAGTTTGTTGAGTATTTTTATTATGTAAGGATGTTGAATTTTTTCACATGCCTTTTCTGCATCTATTGAGATGATCATGTGGGCTTTGTTCTTTATTTCATTGATTGATTTTCAGATGTTAAACCAACATTGTATTCCTTGGATTTTTGCATCTATATTCACAAGGGATATTGATCTATAGTTTCTTTCCTTGTGATATTTTTCTCTGGTTTTGGTATCAGGGTAATAGTAATTACTGGCCTCAAAAAATGAGCTGGGAAGAGTTCTTTTCTAATTTTTTGGAAGAGTTTGTGAAAGATAGTATTAATTATTCTTTAATTGTTTGGTGGAATTCACAAGCGATACCACCCAAACCTATCCCTATCTTTGTAGGAAGTTTTAAAATTAGTAATTCAATTAATTTGTTATGGGTCTGCTCAGATTTTCTCTTTCTTTTTTAGTCTAATTTGGTAGTTTTGTGTCTTTCTGGGAATGCGTCCATTTCTTCTAAGTTGTTTAATTCTAGGTCAAATAGTTGTTCATAGAATTCCTTTATAATCACTTGTTTTTGTAAGGTTGGCAATGATGTCCCATCTTTCATTCTTGATTTTAGTAATTTTATATATTTTTTTTCTTAGTCTAGCTCAAAGTTTGTCAGTTTTGTTTATCTTGCTGCCCACTTTTAAAATTGCTTCAAGAGTAATAATTTATTTGCCTTTCCTTTTAGGATTGATTTCTTTATCCCAGGAGTCTCTGTGGTTGGTGGGTTCTCAATATGCTCCAGCCCCCGACTGCTAGAGCAAGAGAGAATGATAGAATTGGCAGTGAAATATACGAACCACCCTCCTGCTCTCTGGATTCACAATCAGGTGAGCAAGTGTCTGTTTAAACCTGCAGGTTAGGGCATCTCTGCCTCCCACAAAATTTTTATTCAGCTCACTTAATTTAAGAAACCTAGGCTTGAGTGAGGAAGGTACGTGCTCACAAAGAGCCAACCTTGCATCCAGAATTCAGACTCCAAAAGGCTGAAGAAGCAGAATCTTTTTGGTGCATTAAAGGTGACTCCAAGATACTTTGGGATCTGGAAATACCTTCTGGGTCACCAAACAGTATTTAGTTGAATACTACTGTAGGAGTAAAACATTTTACTTTTTATGTAAGGTTTTGAATATTGGCTCTTTGTACGTCTCGTAAATGGTAAACCTACAAATCACGTTCTTTTGTCCTTATCATCCTAAATAAAGGGAATTAAACTGTCATTCTGTCGTTATTTGGAGGGACCGCAGTCCCTGAGTACATCGCTCATACCCAGAGCTAAGCACCGCTAAATCTGTGGTGCCATTGCCTCTCCACTCAGGCCCTAGAGAGCTCGTCTCATGGGATTCTGAGGGAATCCACGTTTGCTGCTACCCACTCGCACTTCCTCATGGGACTCAACTACAGTCCTGCATAAGCTGCGTGTTCATTCCCTACTAGAACTCTGATAACAGAGAGGGAGCTCAGAGCACATCAGTTATTTGTCTTCTTAGTTTTTGACCCTCATGTGTTTTTTTTTTACTGCATTCCCTTCACTTCTCGAGTGTGCCTACTTAATTTACCAACAACCCATCCCATCCCAGGCATTTTCTTACCCCCTTTACCAAAAAGGAATGTACCTGTACAAATTTGTAGGTATAGATAAACTGATTTTAAGATTTATATCAAAGAGCAAAGGAACTTGAATAGCTAAAATAGTTTTGAAAAAGTAGACTAAAATGGGAGGAATCATATTACTCAAATTTAAGATTAAAATAAAGCTATAGTAATCAAAACAGTGTGGTACTGGTATAGGGATAGACTTACAGATCATGGAACAGAGAAGAGAGTTCAGAAATAGACTGACATACATATGGCCATCTGATTTTTGACAGAGGTGTTAAAGAAATTCAGTGGAGAAAGGATAACCTTTTCAACAAATAGTGTTGGAACAATTGTTTATTCATATACAGAAAAGAACCTCTCATACTTTGTATTCAAGGCTTAGATCAGAATAGGTTGTAGATCCAAGTATAAAACATGAAACTATACAAGTTTTAATAGAAAGCGTAGGAAATATTCTGAACTTGAGGGTGGGCAAAGATTTCGTAGGCATGACACCAAAAGCAAGATCCATAAGTTTGATAGACTTAATCAAAATTTTAAACTTTTTTTTAAAAATATCTTTATTGATTTCAGAGAGAGGAAAGAAGGGGAAGAGAGAGAGGGAGAAACACCAATGATGAGAGAGTCATTGATCGGCTGCCTAGCCCGCAACCTGAGCTTGTGCCCTGACTGGGAATTGAACCCCGATCGCCTGGATCCTAGGTTGATGCTCAACTGCTGAGCCACGCCCGGCTGGGCAAAATTTTAAACTTTTTAATGCAAAAGACACTATTAACAATTAAAAACAAACAAGCTGCAAACTAGGAGAAAGTATTTGCAATTTAGATATTCAGCAAAGGACTTGTATCCAGAATACGTAAAGAACTCTCAAAAATCAGCAAAAACAACAAACATGATTTAAAAATGGTCGGAGGATTGAAGAGACACTTTACTAAAGAGGATATAAAGATGGCAAATAAGCAATGAAAAAATGCTTAACATCTTTTAACATTCATTATTAGGGAAATGCAGAGTAAAACCATATATAGTGGGGTAGCTGTACAGACTTATTAGAATGACTAAAATTGAAAATATTGATAATGCCAAGTGCTGAAAATATTGATAATGCCAAGGAACAAGTGTAACTGTAAAATTGCTAATAGGGATGCAAAGTACTATAGCCATTCTGGAAAACATTTTGGCAGTTTCATATGAAATTAAATACACACTTACCATAGGACCCAGCAGTACCAACCCTGGGTATTTATACAGATATGAAAGTTCTGTTCACATAAAAGCCTGTATATGAGTGTTTATAGCAGTTCTGTTCGTAATTGTCAAAACTGGAAACACCCCGAATTTCCCTCAATAGGTGAATGGATAAACAAACTGTGATACTTTCAAACACTGTACTGTTACTCAACAGTTAAACTGCTTATTGTTGGCACACAACAACTAGGGTGAATCTCAGAGGCATTATGGTGAGTGAAAGAAGCCAGTCTCAAAGGTTATATACTGTATAATCCCATTTATGTCACATTCTGGAAAACAGAAATATAACGACAGAAAACAGATCCGTGGTTGACAGGGGTGAGGGGTAGGGAAGGGTGTGCGCATAAAGGGATAGCACAAGGGAGTTTTTTGGGGAGTGACAGAACTTTTATATCTTGATTCTGGTGGTAGTTACACACATCTGTGTATGTGTTAAAATTCATAGAACTGGGCACCAGCAGCAGTTTTACTGTAAAATAATTTAAACAATAAGGGATTTTTAAATCTGTGGGGACATAAAATATATGCTCTCCCTGTGGTTTGTGTGTCCAGTTGTGGGTGCAGAGCAGCCCCTAACTGCCTGCCTCAGCGTGTCCCTTTTAAGCGTATCCTGCCGCGTTTTTATCCCCTGGCCTGAGTATGTCCTTCAGCATGACCTCAGCGGCATCATTGCTTTTTAGATTCTCTTTGGATTTTCATCCATTACAGTCTCTAGGCTGCATCCTGAGTCTCTAAACTATGCTGCAGGGCTGGGGCCAGCAGGGTGTCGCCATGCCCAGAGCTCACTGTTAAAATGAGCTTAGCTGCCCTAGCGGGTTTGGCTCAGTGGCAGAGCCTTGGCCTTCGGACTGGAGGGTCCCTGGTTTGATTCTGGCCAAGGGCACGTATTGCAGACTCCATCCCCGGCCCTGGCCAGGGTGTGTGCAGGAGGCAACCAGTCATGTGTCTGTCACATTGATGTTGTGTCCTGTCCCCCCCCCCCC